AATGTGAGGCATAAAACCACTATCTGGTTAATGTGAGGCATAAAACCACTATCTGGTTAATGTGAGGCATAAAACCACTATCTGGTTAATACAGTATGAGGCATAAAACATTTGGTTAATATGAGGCTTAAATCCACTAAGGTTAACTTTAGCGTAAATGACATTGTGCTAAAGACCCCGCCCTCCATTGGTTGTATATTGTGGCCTTCCAATAGGGCAATGGGTAGAGCAGGAGACCAGGGCTCGAGACCAACACGGACACAAAAAATTTATTACAATATCTTTTGGTTATTTACACATTCATTGTCATTGATATATTAACCCACTATGGGGCACTGTCGGTACAGCATGAAGCCTAGAAGGCACAGTAGGGACCCCCTGAAGCCATTGTATGGGACTGATAACACCCCATAATGTCCATTTCATGGACTGAGAACATCAGAATCCCCTGATAAAATTAAAACTGAATTCCTTCGTTTTGGGCTAAAGGATTGATGAAAAGTCGGCGCACAGCTTCACTTCTCACAGAAACTTCTGATCAGCTCTGAAATCGGACTTTTATGGACTCTGACTTGAAATTTCAGAAAAACAAAGACCGTTACAAAGTTGTCCAATCGCCATGTATTTATATTTAGTGGAAGTGATAACCAGAGTCATAAAGTAACTAAGTACAAATACTTTGTCACTGTACTTAAGTAGAAATTTTGGGTATATGTACTTTACTTGAGTAATTATTTTTCAACGTACTTTTTACTTTTACTCATTACATTTTTACACAATTATCTGTACTTTCTACTCACTGCATTTTTTAAAAAGGTAAGAAGTAGAAAGTCGTTACTCCTATTTTATTCTGAGTTGTTATTACTTAAAAAATACTATCCTGATAAATAGTGTCTACTTGTACTTTTACTSRAGTATCACTTTTGTGGTGCTTTATACAACATTGGTGATAACTGCAACAATCAGCTGCAGCTGATCCACAACCCTGCTGCCTTCATCCTCACTAAAAGTGGACCATGTCTCACACTGGCTCCCTGCAGAGAACAGACTTTAAAATACTTGTTGGTTTATAAATCACTGAAGGATTGTTTTGGATCCACCTCAGGTCCACTCACTTCCCCAGAATCAGAACCAAACATGGACAGAGGCAGCAGCAGTTTTTATGCTCCACTAATCTGGAATAAACCTCCAGAAAACCAAGAAACCCTGAGTCCCACGAGTTTAGATGCAGTTTTTGTGTGAGGGTTAGACTGTAGACATGAAT